GAGATGGGAGTCGGTACGGTTCCGTTCATATGTGCGCTTGGGTTTATTGGAGTAGTATGGTGAAGGGCCTTTGGGGGGATCCCCGGGGGCTGGGTGCATAAGGGGCTGTTATGATCTGTTTTCCTTCTCTCCCCCAGGCCGTGTCGCATGGATCGTGGGCCATTCATTTGTCTTCTGGGCCGAAAGGAGGGCTGCAGCTCGAGCTCAGGGCCACCAGCTGGGCTTTCATCGGGACCAGTTGGCAGTACAATGGTTCGGGTACAGGGGTTTTTGTTGGGGGGAGGTCTGCGGAAGGGTGTTCCGGATGGTAGCAGGCGGGCAACGGCCGGACCTGCTGGTGCTCCATGCGGGGGGCAACGACTTGGGCCTCACTCCGCAGCGGCGGCTGGTGAAGTGGATGAAGCAGGACCTTAACAGTTTAAGGGACCTACTTCCGGGGGTGATGTTGGTCTGGTCGGAGATTATCCCTAGGAAGCGGTGGCGGCATGCTAGGGACCCGGAGGCTATTGACAGATGTAGGAAGAAAGTGAATAGCTTGATGGCAAGCTTCGTGCGGAAGCTAGGGGGTGTGGTAGTTCGACACAGCGAGTTGGAAGGTGGTTTGCCGGGGTACTACCGCTCGGATGGAGTCCATCTCTCGGCAGTTGGTTGGGATCTGTTGACCCTGGGCTGGCAGGATGGCATAACTAAGGCTCTTTTTCTTCGGGGTGGCGGAGCTCAGACAGCTTAAGGAGTCAAGGTCTGAGCTTGTGGCGGGATAGGGAGCTGAAGGAGAAGAAATAGGCTCCCTAGGATGAACGTCATGGAGACGTAAAACTGTGGTCATTGGTGGTTGGTAGGTTCCGAGTCCTGTCGGTGGCTCAGAATCTGGTGGGGCAGGGGTATCCGGGTATACCCCTGCCATGGTTAATTTATGTTTGGCACTTTAAGTTGGTATGTTGGAATATGTTGATACGTATGTTATATGTATATGTATATATGTTATTTATATGGGGGTCATTGCCTGTTACATTAACAGAAGGATTCGGTTACGAGGGCGGAGTATGGGGGCAATGACCCATGTTTATTGTTAAAATTATTATTGCTTAATAAATTATTATTATTCAAGATTGTTTAAATAAAGCTGTGGACAAATTTTCCCATATACCTTTGTGTCAGTGAGTTATTGGGTTAGGTATGTGGGAGGGTTGTCCTGGAGTCCGACTGCCCATATGGCGACTATACACCGGTCAAGATGCAAAGCATCTTTTTTGTACAGTTTATTTCCATTCCAAACAGAGCTACCATGAGAAATTACACTATTCTCCAAACCTCAAGTTAAATTCCCTAATACGCATCGCCTGTTGTTCTGAGTGTTATGCACAGGCAGAACTTCGGAGAATGACAGTGTGGAAGCAACCTGCCATATCATTGGCAAAAACACAACAAACATCCTTTACCTCTGAAATCTCATTGCAAGCCAATGGACAAGTACATCCAATTCCTCTTCCTGCTTTGCTCGCTGAACAATATTACAAATACGTCTCCTGTCTCTGTGAGCAGTAGCTCCAGAAAGACATCTCACAAGACCATTATTGTCCAACTCCACACCTCTTACAATAGAATCCCCAAACAACAACTGCTTTCTATTAGGCCTCACCATCGTCTCCAAGTCTGTCTCTATAATACCACTACACTCGGTGCCTGAGCCTGTCTCCACAACACCACTTTACTCAGTGCCTGAGCCTGTCTGCATGACAATACTACACTTGGTCCCTGAGCCTGTCTCCATAACACCATTACACTTTGAAAGTGCTGAAAATGAATTATGTACAGCAACAGACTGTGCAATATGCCTTTTATCCACAACTCTGTCTACCAGATCCTACAGTAATCCATCTGCCATTCCTAGTATGTCTCTGTGGCAGTGGCTTTGCAACAATTCCAGCCTGAGTTTGTTTACTGCATAATTTACAAAACTAAGACTTCAAAAATACATGACATGAGCACAGTCGCCTTGTCGGCCTCTGCTTAAGAACCCCCACCAAATACCCCAATAAAGCACAGACACCATGGTTTTGGCAAAATTATATCACAGCTTTATTTGTAATTAACATAAATTTAAAGGTCATTGTCAACAGCAGGCCAATATTGGCCTGCACAATTAACATCCTGCATTTACAATTAACCCCTTGACAATGACCCACCCCCACATAACATAACACCCAAACATTGAACATTTTAATTAACATGACCATTGCCACCAAAGGGCACCATCCATTGCCACCAAAGGGCACCACCCACTGCCACCAAAGGGCACCACAAGTGTAGGGGCATACCGAGACACCCCATACACACCCCGGTTCGGAGCTACCTACGAGCTCGAACCTACCAAACCAGTCCAAAGGCCTACCTATTAGCCCTGAACTCCAAACTTTTTCCCCATCTCACTCTTTTCTCCCCCCAACTTTACTCTCCATCCCCCGCCACAGCTCAGAGCTCGACTCCTTGAGCTCCTGAGCGACACCCCACCTAGGGAAAAAAGCGCTCTCTGGAGGCCCTCCTGGAAACCCAGCAACAAAAAGTCCAAACCCACATCGGACAGATGGACCCCATCACTCCTATAATAACCTGGGAGCATGTCTTCCAACTCCCTGTGCCTGATCACAACCCCCCCGACCGCCTCACGTATGCTGCCATCACCTTGTTAACCTTACCCTTAATTTTCGCCGCCAGTACAACCTCGGAACCATTTCCGACCATACTACCATAACCCATGGTACTAACTCCCTTAACCTGTCCACGTTCCTCTTCATACACTCGAGCAGGACCTTTTGAGGTAACGACCCCACATCATTGCCCCCTGCATGAAGCACCACTATGTCCGGAACCTGTTCCAAAATAATTTTGTGAAACATTTCCTCACGTATAACATTCCAACCCCAGCCCCGGTAACCAAACCACCGAAGCTGCTCCACAGAACTTGGAAAGCCCAGCTGTAGACCGTGACGTCGAACTGCAGATCTCCGTTGCGCCCAGTGTACGTATGAGTGGCCGACCACCCATGCCATCCGACCTGTAAAACATAAAGCAAACATAGACAACAACAAAACAACCACCAACATTCCCCCTTTTCCATCCTCCAACTTAAACCAACTTGTCTGGCCTAATGTAAGACCTGAACCTCAGGGACTCCCACCTGACAATCTTTTTCACCCATTCGTCACCTAAACCTAGTCTCGCCGCTTCAGTAGCCGCACCAATCCTGAAAGAATGTGTCCCGAATTGGCCCGGGTCCACACCCAACCTTGCCAACGCCTTCCAAAAAACCCTGAGGAACTGGAACTTCAATAGCGAAGAGCCGTCCTCACGCTTGAAATATTAACCCCCGGCCATTGCCCGCACCTCCCGGAAGGCTGTTGCGCACTTAACCGGGCAAGTTCTCCCACCCGGGAGCTCCCACAACGTAATTAACGTCCCTTTCCCCATTACATACGTTTTGGACCGCCTCAGGTTAATCACTACCTTGTTGCTCCACACTTCAACGTCCATCGCCTGAAGTCCCCCGGACCCTTGGCTAACTAGCTCGCTGACCCGAAATGCCACAAAAAAGGCAAAACTAAAAACCACGGAAAACAACGTCACTTCGTATCCTGAAAAACACACCACGGGCAGCACTCGGACCACCCGCTGCAGCAATTCGAACGACACCGGCCTCCTAGTATCCAATGAGACTTTACTCCTCCTGAAACCTTTCAGTGCCTGTCTAACCAGAAAATGTTTGGTAGCATCCTCCCACCCATTAAATTTTAACAAGAACGCTAGCGCTGCCAGCTTACGCCCCATCACCGCTGCCGAAACCCCTGTGGTAACTGACCTACACAAGAGCCACAGCAGCGCATCCAACCGCGCCTCCTCTGAGAGCTGACCCCCTGCTGCACCAGTTCGTCCCATTCCCCCCACACCTTACTGTATGCCGCCCAGGTTGCGGGTGCCAGGGAATCCCTGATCAGTCCGCCAAGCATGATGTCCCGAGCCACCACATCTCGTCCGGGCAAGACATCCCTTCCTCCTGTGCGCCAGGTGCCACCTGCCGAAATCTCTCCCACTGTGAACGAGACAACGCATCAGCAAAGACATTCGACAGTCCCGGCACGTGGCGCGCCCGAAACACAATGTTAAACCTCATACAGAACAAGACAAGACGGCAAAGAAGCCGCACCACCGGGATAGAGGACGCTGATAGCCCGTTCACTGCATCTACCACGGCCATATTGTCCGAAAAGAATACCACCTTCTTATCCCTCAACTGTGGACCCCATAGTGACAGCACCACTACCAACGGGAACAATTCCAGGAACGCTAGGTTGCGTATCAGCGGGCTGGCCTTCCAGGCCCCTGGCCAAGTACCCGCGCATCATTGACCCGAAAAGTAAGCCCCAAACCCGACACTCCCCGACGCGTCCGTAAACAGCTCCAACTCCTGAGAAGACGCCGCCGGCTCCAGAAAGAACACTTTCCCATTAAAATCCCGCAAGAATTCCCCCCAGATGTCCAAATCAGCCTTCATGGCCCCTGATACTCGAATAAGGTGGTGCGGCAACACCACCCCCGCCGTTGCCCTGGCTAGGAACCTGTTAAAAACCCGTCCGACCGGGATCACCCGACAGGCGAAGTTTAGCCGACCGAGCAGAGACTGAAGCGCCCGGAGCGTAAACTTCTTAGCTCCCCGCACTTCCGCCACCGCCTGCCGGAGTGCCAATAACTTGTACTGTGGCAGCCTGCACTCCCCCTTTACCGAGTCGATCTCCAAGCCCAAGAAACTCAGGCAGGTCGTAGGCCCCACCGTTTTTTCACTTGCCAAGGGGACTCCAATCACGTGCGCCACCCATTCCAGTGTCCTCAATCCCCTGCGACATTCCTCCGATCCAGGAGGCCCTACACATAGGAAATCATCCAGATAATGGACTACCATCCTAGTGCCTGCTTCCAGCTTTACCACCCATTCCAGGAATGTGCTAAATTTTTCAAAGTACGCGCACTATATAGAGCACCCCATGGGCAAACAAAGATCTACGTAATATTCCCCCTCGAAGTGACAACCCAGCAAGTGATGGCACTTCGGGTGAATGGGCAAAAGGCGGAAAGCCGCCTCCACGTCCGCCTTCGCCAACAACGCCCCCCGGCCTGCTCGCTGCACCAGGTTCACCGCCTGGACGAACGAAGCGTACGAAACCGAAGAAAGGGCCCTGTCTATGTCGTCATTAACTGACGACCCCTTGGGGTAGGACAAATGGTGAATCAGGCGGTACTTGCCGGGCACCTTCTTGGGTACCACCCAAAGTGGTGATATTCTCAAGTTGGGTAACGGGGGCTCCCTGAACGGCCCCGCCACCCTGCCCAGCTGAACCTCCTTATGCAACTTCTCCCTAACCACCCCCGGAAATTCCTCTGCCGACTTCAGGTTGCGAAGACGATGAGCCACCACTCGCTCCCGAAACAGGATAACGAACCCGTTGGTGAACCCCTCCTCTAGCAACGCTGCATCTTCCCTGTTAGCGTAGTGGCTTAGCCACTTAGGACCCAGAGGAAGGGGACCCTGCTGAACCTCCAGGCACACCTGCTGCGGAGGCTGACTTCCCTTTTTTGACACACCTGTGAAGTCCTTGGGTGCCTCCACACCCGGAGCACTCGTGCTTGAATCGACAATTGGCCCCCCACTTGCACTGTCCCTCATTATACAGCAAGCAGTAGCCCCGTTTTTGGTTGGCCGACATGGTGGTAGATGCGCCCGTGCCGGCCCCTGTCTGAGGCATCATAAGTTTTATCCAGAGGGGTAGGTCCATCTGGTCCCACCGCATCCCCGGATTAGCAGCCAGGTGCTGACGAAACTGCTCGTCATACCGCCGCAAGGCCAGACCCCCGTATGTCCGATAAGCCTCCCAAATACCATCCAGGTAACAGAAGAGCTGCGAACAGCGCTCTTCCGCCTTTTCGCCCATCACGCTGGCCAAGATGCAAAATGCCCTCAGCCAGTTCCCCAACTTCTTAGGTATTTTCCTGTACCTCCGCTTCTTTTCCTCATCCTCCTTTTTGGCATCCTTTTTATCCTCCTCCTTGAGGTCAATGTAGTCCTCAAGGGGGAGAAGCGAAAAGATTTCCACGAACTCCCCTTTCCATATCCTCTCCTTAACCTCCATTTTGAGATGACAGCCCAGTGGGCCTGCGAAAGAAACATGAACGTTCTGCCGCACGGCCTCCGGGACGCCCCCCAATAAGCTCTCCCTCTCACTCGCCAACCCGGACGCTCTACTGTGGGGGTCGCACCCCCGTCCCCAACTGTGCTGCCTCCGGCCCCAGAAACCCTCATCGGACTAGCCCCTGAGACCTCTCCCACCCGAGCCCAAACCTGACTGCACTCACTGTCCTTCCTTCTCCCTACACCCCAGGAATCAATTAAATGCCTAATGTCATCTAGCAGCTCCCCCGACTGTTGTAACGACCATGTCTCACCTTCCGTACCCCTTGCCACCGAAGACCGTGGGGTTGCTGACCGACCGCAGATCTCCTGCCCCAAGCGTCCCGCTGCTCCGGGCCGTGCTCCTGATGCACTGGGTCTCACCCGATCCGCGGGGGACCTGGAAGACGCCTGTCCTGTAACCGGGTCCGCCTTGCATGCCGGCGACCGTCCTGCTGTCCTTGTCGCGTGGGGTCTCTCCCTCTCCGAGGGTGACCGTCCTCGAAACCTGGAAGGAGAAGACATCCTGGGTAGGCTGGCCGTAGAAACCCTGCCCTGTCCCCTCTCGTCCTGGGAACAGCCCCCCATCTCCCGGCTAGCCGTCCCCACCACGAGGGTCATGAGCTGCACAGCAGCCCGCCTCCTCTCCGGGGAACTCCCGCTCGTGGAACTGACGTCTTGCTGCGACCATCCCCTTGAACCGACAGGGGGCGCCCTATGCCTCCCCCGGGTGTGGTCCACCCCGCGGGGGTCCCTGTCAACTACGTCAGCTACCCTCTGATGGCTGCTTCGTGACCGGTCCCTCCCGGCGCCTTGCGCGCCCTTCGCTTTAGCCCTGCGCGCTGTCATCTTCGCTGGTGCCAACCTTCTGCGCTGTTCGTCGCTGTCACTCCCTTCCGATCCTCCCCTAACTACCAGCCTCGCCTGTCGTTGTCCCTTCCTCGGTCATATAGGAAAACCCGGGGAAGCGCTGCGCTCCTGCCCGCTGCCTGATGACCCTCTGTTCCGTCTTGCCACGCTATACCCCTCTGGCCCGCTCCGTGCCTTAGCCGTCCCCTGTCTGCCTCTTGCCCCCCTGCCGTCACTAGACAAGCCAACACCGGGGCCCACCCCGGGGTAACCCGTGGCCCAGCCATTGGCGGGGCATTGGCGTCAGAGGTCGACTCACCCGGACGGTGTTTAGCCGTTGTCCCTGTTCCTCCAACAGCGCTTCCAGCGTTCCAGTGACCTGCTGCCAAGCCTGCTGTACCGCTCATCCTTCTTCCACTGGCCCGTGCTTGTCCAGGCCCCTTTCCAGGACTCCTATCACCTGTGGCCGCTTCTCCTTCATTCCCTGCAAAAGAAGACACAAAAACCGAACGTTCGGCAGTTTTGTTGCCTCCCCGTTCGGCAGCCGAACGGCCGGCAGTATGGCTACCTCCCCGTTCAACTCCCAAATGTTCGGCAGTTCTTTCACCTCCCCGTTCGGAAACCGAACGGTTGGCAGTAACAGTACCTCCATGTTCGGCTCCCGAACGTTCTGCAGTTGTCTCCCATTCACCAGTTCGCCTACCTCCACGTTCGCCTCCCGAACGTTCGGCAGTTTCCGCCAGTTTGCTGGTTCGCATACCTCCACGTTCGCCTCCCGAACGTTTGGTAGTCTCCGATTCGGTTCCCGAACCTGCAGCCTGCACCTCCAGCCTCGCTTGACGGCTCGTTCGCGCGATTGCGCCGCGACGCTGTCCACGACCTCCTCCACTTGTGGCCTCCCCGCCGGCACTCTCCTCACCGCTATTGGGACCTCCAGAAGGGCTCTTCTGACGCCGGGGCCCGGGAACCACGCTGGGTCTCAACCGCTGCGGAGGCCTGGTCTTCCTGACCGGCCTCTGACCCTGGGAACCTCCATATCCGGATGGCAGAGCATCACCCAGGCGATCCCTGAGCCACTCAATCCCCCTCTCCTGCACAGCAGCCCGGACTCCTTCCAGCCAATCTTCCATCTTGCTGACCTGCGGAGGAAACAAAGAAAACAGCCATACAAATCCTGCTACAACAAACAGGTAGTGTAACTTAGATTAAAGTGATCCTTGGATCTAAAATGGCCACTACTTATACTACCCTTGAAACTCCACCCCAGCATTACCAGTGACCAAACCCTAACCCCCTGACCTTTAGATGGCCTGTCTCCTGGCAATGTCAAGGTCCACTCCCCTTAGCTACACTGCTCCATGGGCTACAATCTCCTGCCGCAATATAGATAACTGTCTACAGATTAGACAGCATCCAAATCTCCAGAAAGTGGAACGTGAAACAAATGCATTACAACTTTTACACTGAACTAAGTCTGCCATTTTAATGAGGTGAGTAATTTAAATCAAAATCCTACTCACTTGGAGTATTGTACGCAGTACTGGAGACCGTATCTCCAGAAGGATATTGATACTTTAGAGAGAGTTCAGAGAAGGGCTACTAAGCTGGTTCATGGATTGCAGGATAAAACTTACCAGGAAAGGTTAAAGGATCTTAACATGTATAGCTTGGAGGAAAGACGAGACAGGGGGGATATGATAGAAACATTTAAATATATAAAGGGAATCAACACAGTAAAGGAGGAGACTATATTTAAAAGAAGAAAAACTACCACAACAAGAGGACATAGTCTTAAATTAGAGGGACAAAGGTTTAAAAATAATATCAGGAAGTATTACTTTACTGAGAGGGTAGTGGATGCATGGAATAGCCTTCCAGCTGAAGTGGTAGAGGTTAACACAGTAAAGGAGTTTAAGCATGCGTGGGATAGGCATAAGGCTATCCTAACTATAAGATAAGGCCAGGGACTAATGAAAGTATTTAGAAAATTGGGCAGACTAGATGGGCCGAATGGTTCTTATCTGCCGTCACATTCTATGTTTCTATATTGGCACAGGAGGGGGCAGCAGAGTATTGCTCACTTTAGCAAGAAGTCTCTCATTGAATAGTTACATATTGCTTTAACTGGAAGAACATCCATGAAAAAAAAAGCAAAAAAAAAAAAAAACAAGATCATTAATTATGGGAAGCCAACCTCCATTTCACATTGCTACAATTCCTATTACTCCATCCATCACAAATGTTTTGACGCTGTGGGAACCTGATCATGTCTGTGAATTCTATTAAGATGGATGATTTCCAAGTGAAAAGTCTATGTGAATCTTGGTTAGGAGCATTTTAAATCTAAATACTGTCTGTTTACACAACAGCGTGACTATACGTGGAATCTCTCAGAATTTTTATATGAACAGGTTATTAGGGTCTCTCTATGTGTGTCAAATTCCTTTTTTATGTTACATTGAAAGGGTATTTTAGACTTCTCACTGGAAGTTTCCTAACTAATAATACTAACTGAACCCATTACTTGTACACAGTTGTATCAGTGTGAAGAATTAGAGTTAAAGTAAGGGGTGTACCTAGAGCTTTTGGCACCCGGGGTGGATCCTATATTTGCCCCCTCAACTTTAAAATGTAAAAAACACCCACAAAATATTTTAATGTATTTAGCACTCAGCAGTGTTTGTGTGTTTGTAGATTTTTTTAATGTATTTAGCTCTGAGCAGTGTTAGTGTGTTTGAATGTAAGCATGTTTTTGTATGGAGTATGTGTGAGTGACTTTAGGGGTGTGTTTTTCTATAGTGTTGGCATTTGAATGCAGGTGTGCATATGTGTGTATTGTGTTTTTTGTAATACAGTTGTGTGTTTATATATAATAGTTTTAGTACAGAGGTGTGTTTGAATGCAGGGGTGTATTTTTGTGTAGTGTTGGCAAGATGCTGAGATGTATGCACATAAACACATACACACACTGATACACATTCAGATACATAGACACACAGATGCACACTGACAGACAGATACACAGACACACACACATAGCTACACAGAAACACAGCTACACACTGAAACACATAAAGACACACAGAAATACATATACAGACACAGTCACACACAGATACAGACACGCACACATGCAGCTACATATACACACATATACACACATATACACATATAGATACACAGACACACAAAAAGATACACAGACACAGAAAAAGATACATACTTACAGATACACAGACACACAGGTACACACATGCAGATACAGAGACACAGTCACACATAGATACAAACACTGACATACAGATACTCAGACACACTTACAGATACACAGACACAGGTACACAATGCATATGTGTTTATAGTAGATGCAAAGTGTGTGTGTATAGTGGATGCAAAGTGCGTGTATAGTGGATGCAGTGTGTGTAGTGCATACCCTATATGTAGTGAATACAGTGTCTGTGTGTAATGGAGGCAGTGACTGTTTGTTTAGTGGATGCCGTGTCTGTATATAGTGGTGCAGTGCCTGTTTGTGTAGTGGATGCAGGGTCTGTGCATAGTGAATGCATTGTGTGTGTGTGTAGTGGATGCAGAGCGTGTAGTGAATGCATTATATGTGTGTGTGTATATAGTTGATGTAGAGTGTGTGTGTGTGTGTGTGTGTGTAATGGATGCAGTATGTGTAGTGGATGTAGTGTGTAGGAAGGTGACAGTATGGGGGGCAGTGTGTAGGAAGGTGACAGTATGGGGGGCAGTGTGTGAGAAAGTGACAGTACAGGAGAGCAGTGTGTAAGAAGGTGACAGTAAAGGGGGACAATGTGTATGAAGGTGACAGTGTAGGGGGGAAGGGTGTAGGAAGGTGATAGTGTAGGGGCAGTGTGCAGGAAGGTTACAGTGTGTAGGAAGGTGACAGTGTGGTGGGGCAGTGTGTGGGGAGGTGACAGTGTGGGGGGCAGGGTGTAGGAAGGTTACAGTGTGGGGGGCAGGGTGTAGAAAGGTGACAGGTTGGTGTGGGAGTCAGTCAGTATAGAATAATTGTTGAAGTTAGACACAAGCAATTAATTTCGGTCTGAATTTAAATTCAGCCGAATTTCGGCAATTCGGATGTTTCCAAATATTCGAATTGCCGAATTTCGGAAGTGCCGAATTTTGGAAGTGCTGATTTGAACTGAATTGCCAAACCCTACCCCTAACCCTAACCCTAGTAAATCACCTTTGTGATTCTTTCTATCGAAGAGTATCCTTTATGTGAACAACTAGACCCAATTATTTTAATAAATATTAGTAATAGTAATATAATAGTGATTAAAATGTAAAGTCTCTGCACAACACACAATAGGTGGACAGGCTTTGCAAGTTAACCAAAACCATCAAGCAAGAAACATTTGAAAATTGGTAAGTTTTATTCTAAAGATATTGACTAATTTGTCCACATTATAAAAAAAGTAACAAGATGGAAAAAAGAAGGGGTAACCTCCTCTGGACCTTGAAGAGTAAATTTCAACACAATCATATAATCACATATGAATTATTTATAAGATATATGAAAAGGGCAGATATTTATTTTAAGAGCCTTGATGTCAGTGTGGTTGCTGCAAAGTTCCGTCTTGGCATTAGAGCTACACCAGCATGCTATTCAGTGACAAAATAATTCACATCAATGTCAAAGATTACCGGTTCATAATAAAATCTGCAAAAGGGGTAAGAGGACATGTACAACATGTTATGAAAACATTACTCAATATCTCACAAGTCACAAGTAAATAACACATTGTCTTTCTTGGTGCAAAAAGGTCAAATAGAGCAAATGAATTCAAATGTGATTTTACCACTCGATTTTCATGCATTGCTCAAACAGAATAACGATTTAATAAACTGGCACATTACATATGGATAACATGAATTCATATTGGGAATTTTTTGAATAACATTTAATTCTCCACACCTCAAGCTTAAATTCTTGGGTTGGGAAGTAGATCTCAGTTTCAGTTTTTTAAACTTCTGAAATGAACCCGAGGGATAAGATAATCCTACTTGCCTTTTCCATCAAGTATTTCTGGTATTTCACAGAGGGGATATATACAGTGGTATATATTGGATCTGTGCTGCCCTAGGCATGACGGAACTCAGGCACCCCCTAATTTACATTTGCCCCACACCTTCCTGTCGATGCCACACCTCTTCCTTTTAAAGACTAACGAACACTTTGACTGACAGACACACACTCTCAGATACACTGACATACACAATCTGACAGACACACACAATCACTGACTCACTCACAGACACACACTGACAGGCACACACAATCACTGACATACACACACAATAACGCACACACTCACTCACTGACACACACACACACACACTGACAGGCATACACAATCTCTCAGACACACACACACATTCACTGACAGACACACAGACACACAAAACCTTTCAGACACACAGGCTCCCTCACAGACACAAACTGACAGACATACTCACTCACAGACACAAACACTCACTCACAGACACACACAATCACTCAGCACACTGACAGACATACACTCACTGACACACACTGACAGACATACAGACACACTGCCAGCCAGCTAGCCAGACACAGACACACACACACTGCCAGTCAGCCAGACAGACACACACACACACACACACACATCCCCCCCCCAACACTAGTTTTTAATTTTAATTTAAATCCACCCAGCCTCCCTACCTTTGGGAGAGCTGGGTGGATTTTTTACCTGGGCTGGCCGGGCTTCTTTGGCAGGGAGTTCCAAGGCGGGCGACGAGGGAACGTCATATTCAGGCTCTTGGCATTACTCTGCAGCGCGCCTTGGAACTC